ATATATATCTAAGATCTAATTAATTGATAATAAAAAAAAAAAAGGTAGTTTCATGGACACCATGACAGATATTTAAACATGCAATGATAATGATAATATATATACTACAAGTTAGTGTAATTGAAACAACCCGAATTTTCATTTTCAAAATATTCTCCAATTAAATTTAATGAACCGATAGCTTGGAAATTCATATTAATATTTTATTGCGAATACTGTGAGAAACCGAACTGAAATTTTATTTTCAAAGATTTTCCAATTAAATTTAATTAACCGACAGCCTGAAAATTTATTTCAATATTTTAATGCAAACACTGTGAGAAATCGAACCGGTTCGACCCAAACCATCTAGAAACATTCTCTCCTCTCTAAAATGAACGCCTACCCTCACCCCTCACCTCACACACACCTCCAGTCACCGGCACGCAGAGCCACCGCCGCCGCTAATTCCACCTCCTCCTCCTTCCTCCTTTCTCTTCTTCCTCTTTTCTTCTTTCTTTCTTTCTTTCCCTTCCTTCCTTGCGTTTTCATTTCTAGCGAGACAGCAGCAGATCGCGCCACCTAGCCATAGTGCGCCACCACCACGAGCTCAGCCAGTCGCACCGCCTCCCCTCGCTGCAGCTCGACGTCGCAGCAGCTCCGCCAGTAGCTCCGCCCTCTGCCAAATCGCGCGCAGCGCACGGCAACAGCACGATCTCCACCTTGTCGCGCCACCGTCATTATGCTGCTGCTCCGCCACTGATCCGCCACAACAGATCGCACCTCCGCCGACGTCACAGCAGCTCTGCCGCTGCTCCAGTGCACCTCCGGCCACCAGCCTCCACCTGCTCTTCATTCCGGCACGTGTAACCTCCATTTTCGGTCAAACAATTCCGACAGCAATATATATTGGGTATAATTTAATTTTAGTAATTTTAGTTATTGGGTATAATTTAATTTTAGTAATTTTAGTTAATTAAATAAATTTTATTATTGTAGTTAATCAATTTAGTTAATTTAATTTAGTAATTGTGAGTAGTTGAATTAAGTTAATTTAATTTTTAGTATTGATTTATAATATAAGTGTTGATTGAATTAAAATCCTTTGATTAATTTATTGAGGAATTTTGATGATAATATTGTGAATGGAATGAAATAAGGAATTGAGAATTAAAGGTAATGTTAATATTGTATTTCGGATGGAGGATGGGCAAATTGAATTGATTGATTGCCCGATGGATGGGCTGTGCGGTTTGGAATTATTGGTATATTGTTGATATTCTAACAGGTAGATAGTCCAATTTTTAGGGGGGATGCTGCCGAAATTTCGGTAGAAAATGAAATAAATGTGGGTAGGAAATAAAATAGATTTCAGAAGAAAATAAATAAAATAGAGTTCGGTAGAAAAATAAAAAGTTATTACAGAAAAGAAATTAAATATCGAGATTAAATATCGAGATAAATTAACGTAGAAAATTTAGAAATATAAAATAAAAATTCTTTAGAGTGGTAAAGAAATATTTTATCTGATAGAATTAATTTCTTTTGTGTCGTTCTTACTCTGCCTTAGTATCCTCGGGTCCATCTTAGTTGCTCCTCCAAGGACAGAATCAAGCAATTTTGATAGAAATTAGACTAAATTTTAATTAACAACATAATTAATAAGTTTATTTAGATTAGTTCTATAATTTGGTACATAATAAATATAGTGCTACTGATTATTTATTATCTTTAGTATTCATTTAATTATGTACATATTTATTTATTTATTTATTTATTTGCATTGATTTTGGATGTATTTGGTGTAGTACGTTGAGAGAATTGTTTGAATAATTGTGCTGTGCATATATTGTGTTTTGTTTGTGTGGAATTGGGATGAAGTGGGTCACCATGGGACTGTGAGACCGTACAGTTATATGGATCCAATATGATTACCGTTAGCCGGGTAAATGGGAGATCGGCGCCCCCGTGTGCACCTACCGTTACCGTTACCGTTAACCACGGGTTGTAAAATGGGAAGATCGGCGCTCCCGTGTTTGCACCTACCCGTTTACCGTTACCGTTAACCCACGGGTTGGCTTTCCTTCGTCGTTGCGCACCGGACAGTCTAGATTTGGATCGCAGCCCGCAGGGTGGCCTCCTGTTGTGAGCGCATTGATGAATCTAAGATTGGATGGAGACCACCGGGTTTTTGCCTCCTGTTGGTAATGAAAAAGAAAAGAGAGGATAGAAAAACAATGAAAGGGCTGGTCCAAGTGAGGATTAGACCGGTCGGCCAAGTATGGGGGATCGGCTCCCTGGGCAACATGTGAAGAGGATGAGCATGTGGAGGAAACGGCTCATCGGGGTTCGGTGACCTCCACTGACTAATTTCACGTGATGTGATTATTTTAAAGGATGATTTTGTTTGTGGGTGCTGACTGTTTACCATATGATTGATTGTTTGTGTGATCATTCAGTATATTAAGGGCGCATTTTCGTGTGACTGTATGTGGTGTGTATTAAAATTTATTATTATTCACTAGTTGCAAACTCAACCCCCCTTCTCTCCAAACTTACTCAGGTAGTAATGGAAAAGTTTTGCTGAACCAACGGAAAGCTTCTGCAATCTTTCTCCGAGAGTTATAAATGTAAATTTATATTTCTGTTATTTAATTTTTGGATGTATAAATTTTCTATTATGCAGAATATTATTGAAACTCTGGCAGTTATATGGGTTGTGGCATTTAAATTGGGCCTTGTTGTATGCGTTACTTTTTTTATAAAATGGTAATGGAATGGTATAACGTTGAGTAATTTAGTTACTACGGGCCCCGGGGGCCCTATTGCTTACCTAAGGCTCTAGTGCCGGTCCGGCCCACGGAAGTCGGGTCGTAACAGTAAATATATTTCAGTCAAGCTATTAAATCATATATATATAATATATATAAATATATATATAATATATATATTATAGTATATATTGGAAACTGATTATATATAATGAAATAATCAAAATAAATTAAAGTATACGTGTAATATAATTAATATTGGAATCCTACCTTTTTGATGCAAAATAGCAAATGCAACTAAGCTTTAATTCGAAATTCATCAAGTTTGAAAAGGTTCGAGCAAAATCATATCCATTGAATGAAGTCTGAAAGCGGTAGAAACATCACAGTGGGTAGAACGAAATCGTGCTGATAATGTTGTTTTATAAATATATAAAATTAGAAAGAAGAAATACAAAGATATATGAACGATTATATATAATGAATAATCAAAATAAATAAGTATACTTGTAATATAATTAATATTGGATCCTACCTTTTTGATGCAAAATAGCATGCACTAAGCTTTAATCGAATTCATCAAGTTTGAAAAGGTTCGAGCAAAATCATATCCATTGATGAAGTTGAAAGCGGTAGAATAACATCACAGTGGTAGAACGAAATCGTGCTGATAATGTGTTATAAAATAATATAAAATTAGAAAGAGAAATACAAAGAGAATAGGGAGAGAATACAAAAGTATATATACTATTGATGAGAAACCACATGTATATAGTTACATAAGTATAATCCTAATAGAATACTACACAAATTAAAAAAATAGAGTTCACAATAATTAAGAATACAGATTTTTAACCCATATAGGACATCTACTTATTTCATAACAATATTTCATTATATATGAGAAGCTGGTTTGAAGAATGCAACAAACTTTGGAATAAGTATGTAGCTAGACTTCAGAATTTTGAGAGGCTAAAAAAATTTTTTTTAAAGTTAAAGCGACCAAAACGAAGTTAAAAAATTTTTGCAGTAAGTTGTAAAACAAAATTTTTTAAAAAAAAAAAATTCTGTAGTTTAGAGGAACAGGCTCCCCCAGTGCCCCCTCCCTCCACCCTGCTTAGAATGTCATTACAAAGAAAATACTTAAATTTTTCTCATATATTTTTCAAGAAAAACCTTATAACACTTCCAACTTTATAAGGATCTATTATGCCATTTAAAATTATGAATTTTAATAACATTGCACACTTTTCCACACTAACAACAACAGGTAGTTAAGATTTTTGGTTCTATATGTAAGATAATGATTTGATGAGGGTTCAATAAAACTTTTGAAACAATGTTTTTTCACATTTATCAACTATTCAATAAATGTTTAATTGATTTGATATTAGGAGTTGGAGCATTTAGGGCTAGAAGCGGGGCGGGTATCCACTAAATTTAAGCTACCCGTATCATATTCATTTAAAATTTTAATACCCGTATCCATTTAAAACTCGTTTAAATATCCATTTAAGTACCTGTATCTAAATCTATTTAAATTTTTACTATTCATATCCGTCCATAACCCGTTTAAAATACTTTAAATGGGTAGGGTACCCACGAATTTTAACTATTCAAATTCAAACTTATTTAAAATATAATTTTTATTAACAGTGAATAGGATACCCGTGGGTACCCAATGGTGGGTAGCAGGTATCCAAAGACCTACACCCACTCCGTACCCATATCCTTTACAATTAGTAATTTCACTATCCATACCCTTCAAAAAACCATTTATAACTACACATATCCTATTTAAACGGATCGGAGCAGATACCCTAAAATACTCACACCACTTCCATCCCTAGAAGCATTCAATAGAATGGTTTTGTAGGTGGTGAAAATTTATAAAATTAAAGTTTTCATGTGCCAAACTAAAAGTTAAGACTGCTATAAAGTTTTTTGCAAAAAATAGAGGAGTAAATTTATTTATTTAATGAAAGAAAAATCAATATTTGGAAGAGTTGAACAAAGTATACCATTTTCATCTCTTTTAAGCTTCTGTTAGTGGAGTGTTGATCTCTTTATACAATACCATCCAAAGTAAGAACTCATCTTTTACATGCATACCATAAAACATTATAAAATGGCCCCGGCAGCTCCAAATTGGCTCTGAGGTGTATTTACCATAAACTTTTTCAAGACCGGTCAAGGTAATTGTTGGAAAATTGAGAGACAGCCATAACTTGATGAATAATTGAAGAAAAATGAAAGAACAAATCACAGAAGTTGATTCTTTGACAAATAATACAAAATTAAAGCTGCATGTCATCAAATAACTGGCAATTACGTAGAAATCTTGTACAACTTAATTAGACAGCATCCTTCCCTTAAGATAATCCAAGCTTATCTTGGTTAAACAAAAATGTAAAATACAATTAAGAAGGTTTAATATAAACCATCTGAATTACATTGCTAATGACACTGAAGACTGTCGGAGCATCTTCATGTCATGTCATCGCCTGCTGGATATGCTGAAGGAACTGACTTTCAAAGGTGTTGCAATCACCAGCGGAGCCTCAGGAGAATCAGAGACTGCAAACTTATCGTGCATGAAACGACTGTCAACAATGGAATCATCCTTCAAGACTATCTTATAGCAATAGCAGCTCTTCAGGCCCTCTTGATTGCGGTAGCACTCGTGTGACCCATTCTTTACCTGCAGGAAGTTCCATATCACACTAAACTTGCCAACCGTTGCAACCAAATGGCGCTCCTGCTTCCCATTCTCTGTGACCTGAAATAATTTTATAACACCATACATGTTAAATTTCTTATCCACAGTCACCACATTGTTTCCCGTAGCTAAAAGCTAGGGCAGGGGATATGGAACGAAATGAATGAGGGAAAATAATTCCAACTCTACTACTTGGTTAGAGCTAAAAAGTGCATAAATATTTAGAGATAGAATCCCACTCATCTTTATGTAATTTTGAGCACAAAAAATTTATTTGAATAATTTTCAGTTTTATCCCTAACTAGTTTGGGATTAAGGCTAAGTAGTGTTGTTGTAATTTTCAGATTAATAGAGACACAGCAAAGGCACCCCATCGATGCATAATTCTGCAGTGGCTGATACTCAATCATTATATATCAGCATTTCATTGGGCTTGTTTGAACATGGTCACAATCTTTCAATGGCTGAGGTCTAAATGAAAATTCATGAATGAAAACAACAGCTTTTCCACTTCATTATATTTGGCATTTCTAAAATAAGTCTTCAATAAAGCAAGAAAGAACACTTCAGAAAAACAAGTTCACAGAATAAAGGACGTGCAACAATAACGGTAAAGATAACACAAAATTATCAAGAATTTCAGTCAGAGTGCTATAAATAACAACTAGAGTTAGCTACTAATTTAGACAACATTGCAAGGTTAAACCATCAAAGAAGGTATATCTTATCTGTAAACTAGAAAAAATGCAGGTTCTAGAAAACAAATTTTCTGTTCGGTAAGGTTCATCAAGCAGTCAGGAGCTATCAACATTCAAAAGAGGATATCTATGGGCTAGGGACAGTAGAAATCAGTATGCTTATGTTTTTGTTGGGAAGACACAAGACAGAGACTGCCAGAAGAATTAAATCAAATTTGGAAGACATAATAAGAGGAAAAGAATCTTAGCTGGATAATCAGGATAAGAATGTTGATAAATACTATAGGGCCTCAAGTTCAAAGAAAATATTCCATTGCAAAAAGCAATTTGATCATAGAACAAACTCAAATCCCCACTATATCAGTGACCATGCAAGTACAATACCCCAATCAACAAGCATCTATCCTAAAACATAGGAATGCAAAGCAAGCAATATTGGGCAGTCTTTCCGATTGAAGCACTAGGTAAAACAAAACCAATTCTGGATAACCCAACTTCTATATCACTGTAAAACATTACATGATCTTTTCATCAGTGGAGAAAAAAACTTTCTAAGGATCAATACAGGAACATCTTTTCAAAGTATCATATATAAAAAGCCACTCAATTCCTCTATACCCTGGCAAAATCACCTTTCACATTCCAAAGGTCTCTGCAGAAACTACTAAATACCACAGTACCAAGTGATTGAGGGTTTCAGCTACAAACAAAAGTACCATAGGCATGTATTATACACTGGAATTAAGTGCAACGGATAGAGAAACAGATTGATAAAAATTAACATGGAGCAACTTTGTTCGCTTTTATCTAGAAAGTTGTAGTTTAAGCAGCCTTAGAGCAAACAAAATAAACACAAGTCCAGATATTGACAGAAATGTGAGCAAAAAAAAAATGAATGACACTAAGTACCATAAGAAAGGCAAGAAAGCTTTCAAGTTCAATGGGCATGATAGGAGACTTCCATATCATATCCATTACTGGAAGACTACCAGCAAAGCAAAGCAGGAAATGCAACACACAGCTAGAAAGGAAATATGTCTACTTACCCATGAAAATTGAGCGTTGCGAAACTTGTTATTAACCCCAGCTAAATGTGAATCCAATGGAGTTAGCTTCAACAGTCTGGGTGCTGCAATCCTATTTCCCATTCGACCATTGAAACCTGTCTTTGTCTTACCATCCTTGTCCGTAAACAGAGTGCAGATGAGTACCAAATAGGTATCAGTGGTACCCAATATCCACTTCCCATCGTAAGTAACATCAACATGAGTAATAGGTGATCCCAGGCCAGGAAAAGCTGTTTTTGCCTGCCTCATAGAATTGCTTGAGTACAATCGTATCTTCCCATCTAGAGACCCAACAACAATTGATCCATCACCAGTGCTTGCAAAGCACTGGAAGTTTGTTCCTCTTGAAAACTGATGCCCTTGTGCCCAATTCAGGACAGGGGAACTAGCAGTTGCAAGATTCTGAACAATCCCATTTCGGTCACGCATATCCCACCTACAAAGCCTGTTATCATCTAATCCCAAAAATGTTGACCCTGATGGATCCAACTGAGCCCCCTTGGTATCATTTACAATGTCCCTCATTGTAATATCAGTTCCATCCTTCTCAAATCTCCACTGTGTAACAATCTTCCCAGTCTCAATGTCAAGCTGATGCAAACCTCTAGTATGTGGTTTGCCTTCGGCAACTGGACTCATAAGCAACATGTTAGTTTCAGCACGCATAAGAAGTGCCTTCTTAGGTGCCAGCTTTGAACCACTCCTTTGGTTCTCACCGCCAAAATTGACACAAACACCTTTCCCATGAATCCCATGGCTAAAATTTTTAACAACCTGAATGCCCGAATCACCTACCAAGAAACTATTATCCAATGCACCCAATGCCAGGCTCTGTATCCCTCCATTTGCAGCCTCCTCAAATTCCTCTCTCAAATCTTGATTACCCCTAACTGGAGTTGCTGGTTCAGGGCTTCTCAAGAAACTATCTTCTGCATCTTCCCACATAGAGTCATCAGCCTTTTCAGGGTTAGCCCATCCAATGAAATCCTTCCCGTAAACCTTAACCTTATTGGCATCGTTGGACTCAAACCCATAAGTATTCTCAAACAAACAATCTTGATACTTACTAATAAAATCCCCATAATCCTCGTCACTAAAGAACTTCATAGCCCAAACTCCTTGCGCGACAAAATCAACGCGACGTTGGTCCTTAAAAGTCTTCAATTGCATATCAGCAGCAATTTTAACTCTAACTTTATTACCCACCTTCAACACCCACCAACCTTCCCCTTCAGATTCCGATTCTGATTCCTCATCTTCATCTTCCTGACTGCCGATTTTGGACGTCTTAAAGAAGGAATAAAAGGTGAGCTTCTCCGATGTGACCCATTTGGCTTTGGGAGTATTTCCGCCAATGTGGAGGTAGAGCTTGACAGCATTTTTCAAATTGGGTTTTTCGCTTGGTGGGGTTGCTGTAGATGGGTATTTAAGCTTGAGGGCCTTGAGCTTGGCCTCAACGTCGTCCAAAGACGAAGGAGTTTTAGGTCTGTGCCCGGAGGATGATTTCTCTGGCGTTGCGAAGCTTTCGTCTTCAGTTTCTTCTTGGTACTCCGTGTCGGAATCCGATAAGAGCTCTTCGCGGCTGTTAGCGGCTCCCATTTTCTTTTGTTTCTTATTGGAAGGATGGAATTGACTGTGTAGAGAATGAAGAAAGGCTATGAAATTGGAGATCCAGAGGGAGATGAATTGCCGAAATAGCAAGAGCGCCAAGTTCAAATTTTGAAATTGTATCGTTGGCAGTTTCAGGCTTCGGCTTAGGGTTTTGAATCGACAGGTTTGGTAATAGAGGTTACCCACTATTACCGGTTAGCTATGAATGGGTCATGCGGGTCGGATTTGGGTTGCCTTACCAGATCTATTCCCGATACTACCAAGTACTTGGTCCAAAACCAAATGAATCAATTAATTTCATCGGCGATGCTCATTTTATGGAATAATTATTATTTTGTGCACATATTTTATCGTAATTAACTACCTTATCTTTATATTTGTAAAGTTGTTAATTTTATCCGTAACGTTTGATTCTATCCAACTATTTTATTATTCCATCTAGCTTTTTGTCGTTTTTTCATTAAAAGTCTGAGGAATAATTATTCTTTCATCCTTATATTTTATAAAAATTAACTATTTTGTGCTTCTCATTTTAAAAATAGATTGTTATATTCTTAAAAAATACAAGAACAAAATATTTAACTTTGAGAAAATATAAGAAGAAAATAGTAATTACTCCTAAATTGTTTAATGGAAAATTATATAAGTATATGGATAATATAGTTATACGGAATCGGTCACTAAGGATAAAGTTATCCATTTTTAAAAAATATAGAAATAAAATAATTAATTATACAAAATATAGAGATACAATAGTAATTATCCTTCATTTTATTCATTCACTAGTGCCCAACCCATAACAACCCTTACTTAATTCCGAAGGACTAGGGCAATGGATGCCACATTTTGTGCTAAATGCACTATATTAAGATGCTAGAATCAAGTCTCATCATAACAATCTAAATATATCTTACAATCATATATGCTTTAGAATTCACATGCTAGCAAACCCATAATTACTTGGAAAATATCTAGGAAATTCATATAGAAAAATTTTAAAAGCTTCCTCTAAAAACTATACTTAATCAAAAATCTGAAAAAGGAAATAACACTTCTATCCATCACTTACTTTCAAGACTACGGTAATTTTCATGTTCAATATTAAATCACACTGTCATTATGCATAAAGACATGCTTCTTAGAAAAACCAAGCTTTAACCATACCAATTTGAAAATTATACTTAGAATCCAAATTCATTTACTTTAGAAACCATTAAATTAAGGCAATTATTCAATAAAAATAAAACAACTCTAAGCTAAGTGCATAAGGCCTATTCGGCCACCAATGCCATTAGACTTAGGAAGTTTTATTCTCATGGTTTTTATCCAAAAAAAAGAATTAATGGTGCCACATATTATATTTAAAAAAGAATTTTATGTTGTGTATGAATCATGAGAATAGGCGCCACTAAAAAATCATGGTTATAATCGAATAAGTCAAGAAAAAAATATTACAATATCAATTAAAATTAGTTTGTTAAATTCGTCTAAATCAAGTTCAAAAATATAATTCAAATTAATTTGTTTAATTTTGAGAAACTTATTAAAATTATAAAACTTAAAAGTATATTTTTATCTCAACAATATTAATTAATATAAATTTTAAGTGCTTATATTTTATTTTATATACTCTATTTCATGATAGATCTTGTGAAATAATAGCAGTAACAATTTTATAATATCAATATGTTAATTTATTTTTTGAAGCTGCTCTTAACCTTTTAGCGAAAGCTATAACTCAACAAGATTATTAAATAATATTAATTGTTCTTGTAAGAAACAACAATAATTAAATACCCCTTAATTATAAGCACTCTCTATGTTGTACTCTAGTTAATTAGCGGTCTGTACTGGAGGTATTTAGTTATCGAAAATCAACTTTCCTATAGAAAATTACTTTCTTACAAAAGTAGATTCGACGAGAGCAACTTTAGGAATTTTGAATTTTCATGTTTATATGATAATAAACATGAAATTGATTATAAATATGGAGATAATAACTAAGAGGATCAATAACATAAGAAGATTTCTTTGTCTTGAAGTGATAATCTTGATTCTTGAAACTGACTGTAAACATGGATCCTAGTTCTAATTACTGCGAGAAAATAACTTATGAACTGAAATGAATACTTACTCTCACTACAATAGTTTTCTGCTCATACTGCTTGTGACCTTTCTGCAAATGTACAAACCATATGACAAATCTTTACGAGATAGTTACAGTTACAAAAATGGAGTTTGAAGTTCACGGGTCGGGTCTATGACCACAAAAGTTGGAGGTATAATTATAGTAACTATATGGGATCAAGTTGGAGATATATCAAAATTTACAAAAACTGATATTACAAATAGCAGTACACTTAAATAAGGCGAAGCGTACTACATCGCAAGCGAACTTTGCTTGCAAGGAAGTCGCTAAAGCTTCACTTAGACTGTTTGGATAACAGTTTTTTAAGTAGCTTTTTTAAAATGTGAAACGCTACTTAAAAAGATATTCGGTAACATAGCAGTTGGATTAGTTTTTAGAAATTATAATAACATTCTATGAAAAAGTTAACTCATGTAATATTTAGCTTCAAAACAGCTAATTTTACCAAACAAACCCTTAAATATCACTCCTACCTAAGCATGAAAAATATTTTCTTTATATATGTTACTTGCATTGAACACCACTCTTTTACAATGGACCAAGGGGATTTGGATTTCTTCACTAAATTTTTATAGCCATCCAATCTTTTTTTCACGCACCAATAAATCTTTTCCCTTGTTGAAGAATCCAAAATAATTTTTCTTCACTTTGTTTGATTTATAAGATGAAATTATTTGAGAAGGGAGACAAAACAAAAAGGAATTAGATGGAAATTGAAATCTTACATCTAAAAATGTACTACCTTTATTCCATAATATTTGTCAGATTTGAGGAAATAGTTTGTTCCAAAATACTTGTCATATTTGTGGTTTCAAGAAATAATTAAAATTTTTTTCCATATTTACTATTTGTATAGGACCAATAATTATTATTTTAATTTAATAGTTTTCTTAAAAAATTAGTATTAAATTAAGAGTAATATAGTCAATTTATTTAATAATTTATTACAACTTAGACAAATTTAATAGTTTTCTTAAAGGACGTGAAATTCAAAATATGACAAGTATTATGAAGCAGGGATAGTATCATAAAACTAGTAATGCTTTGAGAATCTCAGTCCATTTGATATTTTGTTTGTTGTTGGTTGATAAAGGAAGAGAGGATGTCATTTTTGAATTTCAAAATTTTCATTCACTCCGCCTAAGTTAAACCTAAAACTTGAAATTGACTGCAAAGCGGATACTTACTATCTAATAATCTTAGCTCGTTATGAGTCAAAATACCTTTTCCCATAGCAAAACTTCTAACTCTAGTACGAGTAATTGAATAAATATTTAAATTCAATATTTCATCTATTCCGTTAAATTTGATAGTTTTTAATTTTTCACAAAAATTAATAAAATGATTTAATCACGTGAATTCTGAAAAAAAAAATGGTAATTGACTAAATTACCTTTTAATTAATGTTCATTTAATTGAAATAAAGTTTACTGTAAATATCTAGACAAGAGTAAAAATAAAATAAAATAATTAATGCTACTTTAAGTTGAGATAATTCTTATCCAAGCGTTACAGAGTGCAAGTTGAGAACGCCAACCATGAAATCAAACAAGACGATGAACACAAAAGATATTATTGTTTCATATCCATTAGGTTTATCTGTAATTTTTTACAAGTTAGAGCCCATTTACCTAGCCAGACCTATTGGAAATTAGTGTAACTGTAAGGGTTGTTTTATTCTACACTTAATAATAGCAAGGTAGACTCCTTATCTACTTCAATGCTAAAGCAATTCTAAAGACACCAATTCTGTTTCCATTTTGAGAAGCATCACTTTCTTGCCCTAAAGTGACAACCACTTGGAAAAAATATTCTCTTACATAAAGAACTTTATACATACGAGTGTAAATAAGAACACTTGAGTTGATGTTAAGGGGTTTGCTAAGAAAAAGGGGCCTTTTACAAAAATGTTGTTTTGCAAAAAAATATTTACGCAAGCGGTGTTCTCCAAAAAGTATTTACAATTGACATTTCAAAGGCATTTGTTCTAATCATAGTGTAACAAATGCATTGTTACGCTGTGACTGGAACAAAAGCAATAAATTTTAATATGTTTTGCCAGTAGCTTTATATACCAATATTCTCTCTCCTCTCTCTTTGTTAAATGTTATACCATAAGTGAAACAATATCACAATATGGGAAGAAATATATTCTTTGTCGAGATTCCAACGCAAAGGTGCAATTGATCCATAGATGAGATTCCCACGCTACCTTTGAAATTCTTGCACAGTTCCATGGTGTTATAGTGTAACAACCAATAAATTATTGCTATTTTTACACTTATACTATAACAACCTACAAATATAAAATACATATTGTGCATTAATAGTGTAACAATATGTTTTATTTACACAAAACACATGAACGATTTGATGTTATGCAAGAGATGTTTATTGGGAAGGAAAATATTCTTGCACAGTTCCATATATGTTATAGTGTAACAACCAATAAACTATTGTTATTGTTACACTTATATTGTAACAACCTACAAATATAAAACACATATTGTGTTATTAATAGTGTAACAATGTTTTATTTACACAAAACACTTGAACAATTTGATGTTATGCAAAAGATGTCTATTGGGAAGGAAAATATTCTTGTATAAGAGGTTGAAATTATTAAAGGAAAGAACTTATACATTACATTGCTTCTCCTACTCACAGTCTTAATTTGTGTTTCTCCCTTGTTTCTCCTTCTTGTTTTATATTTTTAAATTGTTATACTTACACTGCAACAATGTATCCTTTCATAGTGGGAATCTTAATCTTACCATGTGTACTTTAGAAAAGCTTAGAATATATTCTTCATGATATTGCGACATTGTTTCACTTATAGTAAAACATTTAACAAAGAGAGCGGAAAAAGAATATTGGTCTGTAAAGCCACTGGACAATAGTAAAACAGATTAAAATTTATTACTTTTGTTACAGTCATATCAACAATGCATTTGTTACACTATAACCTGAACAAATGCCTTTGAAATGTCAACAGAACACCATTCTCGTAAATCCTTTTCAAAGAACACCGTTTGCATAAATTTTTTTTGTAAGTTTTTGTAAAAAGCTTAAGAAAAAACCAGGACACATGGAAAAGAATCTGTTTTCCTACCGCTGGTTGTACAGTTTTGTCCTTTTGATTCCTGTCAACGTTAGCTTCCTGAAAGACACCAATCTTTGTTTTGCAGATCCTAGTGCCAATGGTTTTAGTGAGGTGCCATTCGACTTTGAATACAAAAACCATATGACAAACACTTGAACGAGCATTACAGGTTCCATGATGGGATTCATCGTTTCTGGGTTTATGAAAATGATAAGCCTTTCAAGGAAGGCAGCCCTACCAGGCCTCGCACTGTAATGCACATCAAGGTAACCTTTTCTCTCTGTAACCAAGGCACCGTTTCTTTTCAAAAAATAACTTTTTTTTAAAAAATATTTTCCATTTATTTTCATTGACTGATTCTCCTCAACATTCCAAACATCTAAAAATCAAAAAACATATTTTCTAAACAAATTATTTTCAGAAAATAAATGGAAGCTAATTATTATAACATATGGGATGATCTAATAATTTTAAGAGACTAGAAAACCATTCAATTTGATGGTTTTGAGGGAAAGAACAAACACTGAATATATAGCTTCATCATTTTTATTATAAAGGATTTCACAATTATTAAAATTTAGTAATGATTTGAGAAGTTGAATAATTAAAATTGTTTTAAATTCAAAACCAGTTTTGAGAAAATAATGTATTCCCGTCCTATAATTATTTTTTTTTTTTTCATTCGTCCCAAATTATTGTTTTGTTTCCTTTTTTTTAGAAGTTAATAATATTTGAATTTTAGTATTTTGCCCTTATTAAATATATATAATAGTCAAACTCTTATATTACCATTAAAAATTAGAATATAAATCTTTAATCTTTTAAGAAAAATTTATTTAATCAAATGTTTGATTTATTGCCCAATTAATTTAAGCATAAATTAATGTGAATCATTTAATTTTAGTGGAATATTAGGAAAGGGTGATTATAGTAAATATTTAAAATTGTATAATACTTATAGTAACTATATATGTATAACTTATATAATTCTACGATATTATTTAATAAAATATTTAAAAACTAATTAACAAATAAAGAACAATTATAGTAAATTATATTTCATGAAATTTAAAATTAAACGTGAATTGTAACATCCTAAAATTCACACACATACGTATAATTATTAGAATTTGAAATACATAACATCGTCAATTGGTTTAAATAAAAATCTCTATTATGATTAATCATATTAAAAAAATTAATGTAAATAATCAAATTGCATATAATTCATTAATTAGTTTGATTAAATAGAAATCTTTAATTTTAAGTAACGTATTTCATCAAATTCAGTATGATATAAATTTGATTAAATAAAAATACCTAATGTTAGTGATATGAACAAGTATAAATTATTTATAGGAGTAACTCGTTATGCAAAGATGTTTAATGTACTTAATCGAATTAAATAATATATACACCAAGGTATGACTTAATGGTAAGTGCATATACGATCTGGTGATATATCCAGATTCAAATTAAATAATATTTTCTAATGTTATGAATTTGATTAGTTAAAAACTCTTTATGATTATAATTAGATTAATTAAGGAAGCAAATGTTTTTTTTTTCAAATTAAATATAAATCCATACTATCACAGATTATAGTAAATATATAATAATATTGATATGAATTAAATATAAATTGATACTTTATTTAAATTAAATAATAAATATAAAGTTTAATAGGAATAATATGAATGAAAATAAAATATTTATGTGAGTTTTCAATTCTCTAATTTGATTAAGCAAAAAATCTTTAATTTCAAATAATTTTCAAGGATTTCTACTTAATTTTGACAATTATACATATATATTCTAAGAGATATTTATTTAATATTTCATATGGAATAACACTTAATAATGATAAAATATATATTCTAACCTTGACACTTGTATTTTATTTCTTTAAAGTACAAATCATATTAAAATATATGGTTCTTTAAAGTAGAAATCATATAATTCTTTAAAGTATAAATTATTATTAGTGAAGTTAATTATATAAAGTACTAGATATTATATTAGTATACTTGTCTCTCTTTTGGCATTTTTTTAACCTTCGTTTTATAAAAAAGTCAATTCATTGGAACCATTAACTACAATAAATATTGCTTAAAAATCAATAAATAATTTGGATTTCAAATCTAATTACAAAATTTCTATATATATTATATTGTAAAGGATATTTTATGACTTTATAATATTTAATCAATTGAAAATTGTAAAATATAAATACAATAAGTAAAACTCAAAAATACGCCTCTTGAGCTGACACAAACTGTGCTAAATAGCATTACTGATTAGGAAAAAATAAGGTAAAAATTATATTTTAACTATATTAACTAAATTTTGTTAATCCATGTGCAAATGAAATCAAGACAAAAATTATGGGACGGAGGAGATATTAAACTATAAGCCCAATAAAACTAACCAAATTATGGATTTCATAATCTAAACGATATAGTTTCTCTTGATAATTCAGTTCAATTTGGATTTGTGTAAATTATATTAAGGGCAAATAATTATTTACTCCTTCAAATTTGGTCATAATTATAATTTTGTTGAATTTCTGTAATATTTGACTATTTAATCATTCTTATTTAATATGATATTATAATTTAATATCTCATATTTACGCATTGAATTATTATTTAAAATCTTTTATTCAATGGCAAAAAATAACACTTTTTGGATAAAAGACTAAATAATTTGAGAGAACTGAAATTCATTACTAATGAGTGCATTGTGCATTAAGAATGATGAAATTGTAATTATAACCAAACCCGAGGGATCAAATATTTGTTTACGCTAAATGGTGACCAAACTTTGGAATTAGTTCCATTAAAGTCAAATAATATTAATTTGTTACTTATTACTCTCTCCGTTCCGTAATTTTTGTCTAACTTTCTATTTTTATTCATTCCAAATTATTATTTTATTTCTTTTTTTAGAAGCGAATAATATTGAAAGTTACTATTTTACCCTTATTTAATATGTTTCTTTGTCAATAAATATAATAATCAACTACTATATTGCCATTAATTAAATCTTGATATGAACAAAATTAACATATTAACCTTTAATCTTCCCGTGAAGCTCTATTTTTTTTTTTTTTTTCGAGAATTAAAACTGCAGTTTTATTCAGAAACTAAAGAAGCTGAAATGTCACCTTGAATAATATGAACAATGGCACTAGGACCATCTTCAATCCAAATGTGCTCAGAAGAATAAACCGATAAAGCCAAAGACATTAACTTATGGGCCACCTGATTATAATGTCTAGGAATATAATTAAAGGAAAATAATTGGAAATGAGAAGCTAAATCAGCAATTCTACTCAATCTGGTACCCCATTCAGCTGGGGGAAACTTCTTTGAGGCATATTGTCGAAGAAGTAGAAGGCAATCCGATTCTAAAGTAATTTGTGAGAAAGATAGAGCAAGAGCTGACTCTAGAGCAAAAATGGCAGCGTCTGCATCAACATCCTGAACCTCTAAGACACAATCAAGTTGTGTCAACCTCGTTGCCATCAATTCCCCTCTCTCATTACGAATAACAAAACTAATGTCACAACAATTTCAGTCCTTCAACACACCAGCATCACAATTAATTTTTACACAAGTACCAATCAGGGGAGACCATTTCTGTACTAAACCTGCAGTTGGGGGAGAAACAGAATTCATACCTGAAGATTGAAAGTCATGGATCATAGATAGTGCTTGATTGACTATAAAAGGGTTAGAAAGCTGACTATTCTAGAACAACCTAAGCATTTTGCGATTTCCAAATACTCCAGGCTATAGCAACCACAACCTCCAACTGCTCCGATTGAAAGGAATCAACGAGATTAAAGAACGAAGACTTGAATAACGACTCATCTGAGCGGATAGAAAGCCGAAGAGGACTTAGCATCCAAGCCCTTTGAGCCACAGGGCAGTGAAGGAGAATATGCTCCACAGACTCATTTTCCTCTCCACAAACACTACAAATAGGGTCAACTGGGATAGTTCGCTGAAGTAAAGCTAATTTAGTAGGGAGCTTTCTGGAACAGACTCTATAAAAAAAAGTGCTTCAACTTTGGGGGGAAATGAAGGTTCCAAAGGAGTTTCTAATAAGGGACTTCACTCCACTGAGAAGAGCTGGACATTATAGACGAAACTACGGAATTAAACGCAGCCATATAAGCTGACTTCGCATTGAAAAGGCCTAATTTGTGATGAACCTAATTGAGCACATCCATTCCTCTACGAAGACACAAAGGTATTCACACAATACATTTGGCCTCCTCCTCTGAGAACAAAGATACCATAAGATCCCCATTCCAGCACCCTGTGTTGAAACCAATTAAATTATTCACAGTTGCATTCTCGTCCAACAGATTTGGCTGAGAAGAGATTCTAAAATCATGCAAACCAGGAACCCATGTATCACGCCAAATGGGAATACTCACACCATTACCAATGACCCTTCTACTCCCTTCTTCTATGATCCATCTGGCTTCCATAATGATTCTCCAAGTGAAGCTAGGTTGATAACCCGGCTGTGCTTCCAAAAAAGAGCAGTTAGGAAAATATTTGGCCCTAAAAAATTTAAAAACTAACGACTCATCATTGTTTAAAAATCTTCAACATTGTTTAGCCAACATAGCCAGATTAAAAGAGTGCAGATCCTTAAACCCAAGACCTCCCCAAAACTTGGATAAACATAGTTAATGCCAACTAGTCCAGTGAATACGACGCTCATCTTTTCGCTGACCCCACTAAAAATTATCCATTAAAGATTCAATTTTAGCACAAATATCCTTTGGTAAGAGAAAACAGGACATAGTGTAATTAGGGATTGCTTGCACCACTGACTTTAACAAGACTTCCTTACCAGCTCTTGAGAGAAATAATTCCTTCCATCTCTTTAGTTTTTTGGCTACCCTATCAACAAGGGTGCTAAACACTTGCTTCTTTTTTCTCCCTATAATTGCTGGTAAACCTAGATACCTGCTGTGGCCAGATATGCTTCTAACTCCCAACAAATTGGAGATCACCTCTTGCGACACCATGAAAATATTTTTACTAAATGAAATTTCAGATTTCTCCAGATTTATCTTCTAACCGGAAGCCTTCTCATAAATCTCCAAAATTTTCTTTAATACATTCGCTTCCGACACTTGCTCTACCAAAAATAATATTGTCATCTGCAAAAAAACAAATGAGAAATTGCTAGAGCTGTTGGACAGATCTTCACGCCATGGATTAGCCGATTAACTTCTGCTTGCCTGATTAAACTGGAAAAAGCTTCTGCACAGAAAAGAAATAGATATGGAGAGAGGGGATCTCTTTGTCTAAACCCTCAATTAGGAGAAAAATAATTGTGAAGCTCTCCATTAATAAGAATAGAATACGAAACAGTTGAAACACATCTCATCACAAGATCCACCCAACTACTCACAAATCCCATTTTTAGCATCAGATCTCTTAAAAAACACCACTCTACCCTATCATAAGCCTTGTTCATATCAAGCTTACATGCAAAAAAGCATTTTCGCCCACTAGATTTATTCTTCGTATAATGGAAAATTTCAAAGGCTATCAGGCATTATCAGTAATTAAACGACCAAGCACAAAAGCATATTGAGACTAACTAATAACCTACGAAAGAATGAATTTCACCCTATTAGCTATGACCTTGGTAATAAGTTTAAAAATACATTGTATAAACTAACAGGACGAAATTGAGAAGTAAGAGAAGGATCATTTACTTTAGGAATCAAAAAAATAAAGGTTCGATTTATAAATGCAGGAGATTCACCATTATTTAAAACAGACAAGACTTTTTCCACAATAGAAGATCAAATAATAGACCAAAATTTTTGAAAAAATAGAGGAGGCATACCGTCAGGCCTAGGAGCCTTGGAAGGTTGCATTTGACGCAAAGTCGCAACAATTTCCTCTTTACTGTAAGGTCGGCATAGATCAACATTCATATCCATAGAAACCTTTGGCTCTACTGAATTCAACACATTATCATAGGCAGATGGATTAGAAGATGTGAATAAGTCTCAAAAATATCTGTAAAAAACCAAACGAACGCCATCTTCATTATCAACAAGTCGACCCGTTTCATCTTGAATGCTAACAACTTGATTTCTTTTTTGTCTACCATCAGCTTTCTGGTGGAAAAAAGTTGTATTTCTATCCCCCTCCCTTAACCAATTAATTCTAGAACGTTGAAGCCACATAAGCTCCTCCCTAGCTAAAAGTTCTTTTAAATTTGATTCCGGAATCTTTTAGAGAGCTATATTTTCTCTACACTGAACTCCTACCTGCAACTCATGGAGATTCTTCTGACAATCCGAAATTTCTTTTGAAACACGCCCAAAATGAATTTTTTTTTCCCATTTTCTCAAAGCTACACTACATCTCTTAAATTTATCTTCAATGGAAACCCGAAACCCAAAATCCTCTGAACCCTCCCGCGCTTGTTGTACTACCTCCCTATAAGTACTATCTCTCAACCATATGGATTCAAATCTAAAAGGTCTACATCTTCGACAATTAGTAACAGCCGATTTCAAGAGAGATATGAAAATGGGACAATGGTCTGAGCAAAAACGAAATAAGTGAGATATAGCGTACTCAAGAAAGAGACTAACCCACGTCATGGAGGCTGTGATCCTATCAAGTCGCACTTCAACCGCGAGATTCTCCTTCTTGACCATTCGACCAAGTGAAGTTATACCCTTGGTAACTCAGATCGCCTAACCCGCTACTGTCCAAAACAGAATGAAAAGCATCCATTTTAGCTTGAGGACGAGAGTTCCCTCCTTTCTTTTCATAGTTATAGAGAATCTCATTAAAGTCTCCCCCGCACAACCACGGTAAACCATAATTCCCTACCAATCGACGCAATAAATCCTAAGACAAGTGCTTATTCGATTCGTCAGACTAAGCATAAAAACCCGTAAAATGCCATGTATCATCAATCTCAATATCAATATGGTGATCCGAGTATGACAACAGCTTAACTCGAAAAAAATCAGACCAGAACAGAGCCAAAACTCCTTTCCTACCAAGCCTTTCATCACACGGAACGCTAATCCCAAACCTTCTTCAATTGACAAATTGCATCCTGGTTCCTAAGCCCTCTAAAGTTCCATAGTAAAAGACTTATTGCGAATGCCTCCGCCGATAAATTATCAAAATCAACAATCACAATACCCCTGTTCTTTTTTTAATTTCTTTAAACCCATATCCATCTCCTGACCGAACTGTTGCGCAACACCCTGAATAACACTTTTTCGTCTCTCACCAACTAACACTAAGTCTGACGGGGAAATCGATATTTGATTTATTCGGGCCATACGTTTCCACAAGATTTTTGGTGGAGTTTTGTTTTGAGAAGGTGGGCCTAAATCGGGTTTAAGAGGAGAAAAATGGAATTATATGGTTTAACCAGATTAGCAGCAAAGCAAGGGTCCAAGGAGGACGGATTGATCAGGTGGGGAATCGAGAATAATAGGAACATGGTAAAAACCTAGTTCAGTGCAGGAGTTGTGGTTATTGGAATTTATTTTATCCGGAGAATTTATGGGGACAGAGGTGGCAGTGGCAGTATTTTTTAGAATGGGAAGGTTCACAGCTGAATTGGGGCTTTTATTTTTAGTTACCTGGATCGAAGGAATTTGAGCTTGCAAGATCGGGTCAGAATCATGTGTCAAAATAGTACCCCCCATCAACCTGGTAAACTCATCTTCATCAGTACCTGAACTATCCTGGCGCAACGCAGTTCTAACATGCATTTGCTCAAGCATGTTTAATACTTCATCAGTGTCCGCCGCTGTAGCACTCAGAAGAGCCTCCTGATTCTCACTTCACTCTTAATTCCCTAAAACGTCAATATTTAGTGCGGCTGGAATATGCTTATCCACTTTGCCTTATGTTGGTTTGGGAAACAACTAGCGAGTGACAAAATTAGAACCTTCAAAACCCGTCGCTAGCCTTACTGATTTTCTAAAAGGAGACGCCCTAATTCCTTCATCAAAAGCAAGAGCAAACTGATCAACCTCCCTCCTATCTGACAGTAACTCACATTGTTTGTATAAGTGTCCACATCATCTGCAGCAATAACAGAAGTTGGGTAAGCATTTATATTTTAGCAGAGTTCTAAGGACGACGGTAGCTCATCACCTGTGACTTGTTTTACAACAAGAATCTGCTTTTCAAAGTGCCAAGGTGAAACTAGTACGTATTGCAGATCCTGCCAATGCTGGAATTGGAATAACAGGACCTCCTTACTCCACTCTCTCATCACAACTCCATGTTTGGGTTTCCAAACCCTTTGCATCAAATCCATAAGATCAAACTTATTGTAAGGACATTCAATCCATAGCTTTCCCGCAATACATAGCTAAACTTCACTCAAATCCTCAGAACAAGCCTCGTCAGGAATAACAACAACCTCAGAAGGAACCCTAGACGCCAAAACAAATGAAACTCTAATTCCCAAGAGAAAGAACCCTAATTCCCATCAAGGGAGAACTAATTAACTCCCCGGTAAAGCTCTATTTAATCAAATACTATTTGATTAATTTCAAGAACAATTTAATATGAATCATTTAATTTTTATGGATAGTAACATAAGTGTATATTAGAAAAAAAAATGAAGCAAAAATTATAGCTTAATCATATTAATTAAATTATCTTAATCCTTAACATAAATTATGAGATGGAGGAAGTAATTACTAAACTAAATTTTTGTTTCAATGAGCCACACAAAAAGTTCTTTTAAGACTAATAAAAAATATTTTTGTATTTTCAAAACTAAATCGTATACACCCCTAACATAAACATGCATTTAGTTCTTACTATACATAATAAAAGGTACCTTCTCTCTTGTTCTAAGGACATAATTACTCATCTAGAGTTTGGCAATTTGAAGGGCAGCTATATGTTCCAACAGGGACCAGTGGAGTAATAGTAATGCAAATATTTGGTGCAGTGAAGAAAGCAACAGCTCTGCAACTTAAGGGTTTACAACGGAGAGTTGAAGGCTTACAACTATACATGGAAGCGGGGCTGATACCCACGAATTTTGAACTACCTGTAATTGTATCTGTTTAAAATTTTACTATCCATATCCGTCCAAAATCTATTTAAAATTTTATTACCTGTATTCGTCCCAAACCCGTTTTAAAGTACCTCTTAAACGAATAGAGTATCCACACATTTTAAACTATCCAAATCCGAATTTATTTAAAATGTGTTTTCACTAATAAATTGGTAGGGTTCCCGCAAGTATTCATGTCAAAACTATTTATTATAGCAGGTAATGGATAGTGGGTACCTAGAGTCTAATACCCGCATCCTACCCATCCGTTACGAGTTGTAATTTCACTACCCGTATCCATCTATAACCTCTATTTATAACTATCCGTACTCATTAAACAGATCGGAGCAGATTGGATATCCTAAAATACTCATCTCACTTGCATCCCTACTGACAACTCCAACTCGGTGGCTGCAGATATCTACAATAAGTGGCTAAGAGTTAATGTGATCCACAATGTAGGTCAAGAGGAAATCACAGTCTTCGTAAATGGTCAACAGAAACTGATCGTCAACGATGACAGCCCGGCGGAGCATTATTTCAAATGTGGAGTTTATGAAGCGCCTGATCATTCAAGTCACTAGTGTTCGATAAGAGTGTTTAAAATAATCTTTAGAGATTAAAGTAACATTTTATAAAAAGCTAACCTATGTAATGTCTTATGAAAAGTTACTCAAACAACTACCAAAACAGTTAATTTTGCCGAACATACCCTAAGTCATCAAACTAATAATGGAAGGAAAACATCCAAAATATACAATACATACATTAACAGTAGAGAAGGGATAGAGGAAGAGGGACTGAGATGCAAGATTCAAATCCGAGAGTGTCTCCAAATAACTGGAAATGATAACTGGACAACCCATTAACTGGTTTCAAGTAAACCATCTTAATTTATTGCAACTCGTTTGTGAGATCAATCTAACAAATGTAAATAAAAAGAAGCCTAATATTGTTATACAAGCATCGAGAAAAATCTACCCTATTTCTTCAACTATAACTTAACACCACACTAGATCCATGAATGGAATGAATGAATCATTAAATAAAAATGCCAAAATTAACCTGTGACATAAAAATAAAATGAAAACAAATCTATACAACGCTAAAAGATACAACGAAGAAGCCTACACACCACCACAAGGTCGACAGCACCACCTTTGAAGTTGAATAAAGAACCATTGTAGAGGGTCTGGATGTTCATCTTCATCAAAAGATGCGGTAGGCGAAGGTAGCTCAGGTGGTAAATGCCGGTGAAATGCATCAACTGCAGCGGCAACACCATCTTCATTTTCTATCAACTTCGCTAATTCCATTGCTCGAGATTTCACCTGGGAAAATTTTAAATAGCATTAGTATAAGACAAGTGGCTCGTAATAAAATTAAAGAGTGAAGGAAAGGATGGAAAACATGATGGTCAACATGTGAAGGAACAGAACAGAGATGATAAAGCCACTAAAAACCAAATATCTAAAATTGGATAACTTCTAGAAACATTTTTCTTTTCTTCAAAATATAAAATTGTAGTGCAGCTTCAGAACATGTTGGACTGTTTTTAGCAGAGTTTGGACATGTCACCTGTTGCACACAACACAAAGAACCTATTCTCTGAATTTTTAGCTAGCTTCCAAATACATCTTTCAACACCAAAGTAATTGCAAAGTTTTATTCTGCTCTCTTTTTGGACAGTAACCTGAAAACACTGTTGAAAACAGATCCTGGACATCTCTTATTCAATTCTTTTTTTTTTTTTTTTTTTTTTAAGCCACTAAAAAACCAAATATCTAAAATTGGATAAACTTCTAGAAAAACACATTTTTTCTTTTTCTTCAAAATATAAAATTGTAGTCAGCTTCCAGGAACATGTTGGACTGTTTTTAGCAGAGTATTTGGACATGTCACCTGTCGTGCACACAACACAAAGAACCTATTTCTCTGATATATTTAGCTAGCTTTCCAAATACATCTTTCAACACCCAAGTAATTGCCAAAGTTTTATTCTGCCTCTCTTTTTGGTGACGTATAAAAATGGCTTGCACAGATCCTGGACATCTCTTATTCAATTCCTTTTTTTTTTTTTTTTTCAATTCTTTTTTTTTTTTTTTTTCTTTTGTAGTTCATGTTTTCATTACCAACAAAACATAGGCAGTCGAACAAATGGTGTCTTTCAAACTCCTACTCAATATAGCATCACAACTGTCATTGTATTTGTTTGTATCATACTTCTGATGCATAGTTAATCAAGTCTTTGATCTACCAAAGATTAATGGAGTAATCGATTTATAAGGACCAAACTGACGAGCAAAGCAAATCAAATCCAATAAAATTTAGTATAATATTATAAACACCAACCAGTATTGCCATGATAAAAGTAAGGCCAATACAATATATTTCCATCCTCTAGAATCAACCCTTCTACAAATTGGGAGCATTCATGCACATGAGAATTACCTCTGGTTGGAGCATGAATGTTATTGCATTTGAAAGATTCTCAACATTGAGCTGGGCAATCGGTATTGGAGCAGGTCCCAGCCCTTGTTTATGCACTTTATCACCCCAGAAAAACTGATCTCCAAAGAACGGCACTATGGTTGTTGGGCACTGTATTTACAAGTTTGACAACAGAAGATCAACCGCTTAAAACAGTCACTTCTAGTAAATATCTTAAATTATATATAAGTTTAAATGGATTACCAATCTTATCCCTTAATGTAATTTCCAATTACATAATTCTGCCCCCCCCCCCCCATTTTCCAATACTTAAATTTTCTGCCCCCCCCCCCCCCCCCTCTTTTTCTTTTTTTTTTTTTTTTTTTTTTTTTTTATTTGGACAAGCAAAGAGAAAAGAATCTTATTAAAGGAAACCAGTCTAATACACAGTAAAGAGCATTTACAAAGAAACTAACTAGTTACCCCTGCTTTTAATCCTGTAGCTGTGGTTCCAGCACCACCATGATGAACCTGCATATTTGTTGCAATCATGATCAAACACAGGGTCCAGTGGGACAAAAACAGAAGACCAACTGCAAAGTTATTTTAATCGCAAAAGAATTTATAATTAGTTATCCTCTATTAGAAGTAATAAAAGACTCACCACAGCAGCACATTGAGGAAACAACCAATCATGGGGGCAGTCCTCCAAAAGAAAGACATTATCAGGAACCTCTGTAACTGCAAGACAAAAACAAATAGGAGAAAGTTCAAAAAAAAAAAAAAAAAAAAAAAAAAAAAAAAAAAGAAGAAGTAAGAGAGAGCAGAGAGAGGAGGGAGAGAGAGAGAAAAAAGAAAAAAAAAAAAAAAAAAAAAAAAAAAAAAAAGAGAGAGAGAGAGAGAGAGAGAGGGAGAGAGAGAGAGAAAAAGAAAAAGCAAAAAATTTGAGGGAACAATACATGTATTCTATTTAGTACATGGTCAACAAACGACATCTGTTTCAATTCAAAGATTACAAGTCATAGAGCAGAAAGAGTATTTAGAATTACGATGCTGTATCAGTAATCAGTATGCTAGGAATTCTACAACCTTTCATCAAACAAATTGTAAGGTCACATATCTATGTTACCAGCCATGTAAAATGCAGTGACCTCAGTCTTCAAATATCAATCCACAGAAATCAAACTTAATAATGGAAAACCAGCAAGAAGCACAGTAGGAAATCAAACAGGTGCATCCCAAGAAAAGAGCAAGTTGTCCTCCTGTCCACTAAACAAAATGCAACTTTTGAGGCTTGTCTCTAGAATTTTCATCTCCAATTCATCACCCATTGCTTCATTAAAATCTTTTTTTGAGAGAGCTCTATCCTATAACGAAGTGAAGCTTCTATTTCTAAATGACATAAAATGAAAAATCACATCTAAAGTTCCATACTTTTTGAACAATAAGGCTCGTATTTGCTTGTGTGTCAATGTAAAATTAGCAGCAAAGCTTCACTCGAATATATTGCTAAACAAAAAATTGTTCACAAAGTCAATTACAATAAAAGGAGCATCTCTACTAGTAACTAGTACCATAGACTATGTTAATTTGCTCAAGGGATCAGAATTTCTAAAACAACCAAAACACCTAGAAAGAGCAATACAAAGATGGAAGGAAAATACTCACGATTTCCAAGATCGCCCCAACCTCGATCAATTATTCCTCTTTGCCCAGTATCTTTCAATGCCTCTGTTATCATGTCTGTAGTCTTCTTGGGATCTTCAAGAGGCTTAACAAATAACAAGCACTAGTCAGAGCTTCCCCAAATAGTAATGAAGAAAAGAAAAACTGTAACAGCCAAATATGCCAATCACAAAATATAAAGTAGAATTAACAAAAGGGCTGATGAGAATGCCAAGTATTTTAGTGTAGGGCAGGGAAGAAAATCAATATGCTGCAAGCCCATGTACCGTGTCACCTACTCCTTAAGTGATGCAAACATAAAACCAGTTCCAATAAAAGTACTCACTATATTGAATAAGGAATTTAGCTGAGTTACTAAGTACAAGAAAGGAATTACTTGTTCATTCCTCAATCAGTTCAAACACATACAACATTGAACTTAGCCCAGTCTAATAGTATCCTTACAGTTAAGCCTTAGGTCAGATGTATTTTGCAGTCCCTTCCCATACACAATATTGGTTGTCCACAAATATGATTTAATTGAAAAAAAAATTTCTCACTGCAACTAAGAAACTACTCCAAGAAAATGCACTAGAGGCTCAATCAATGCAAAGAAAATATTAAATACTAGAGACATCTGGAGAAAATAGAAAATGACAAATGGTTGAGGTACATCAGTTGGCGTAAGAAACTAAAGGCAAAAAAAAAAAAAAAAAAAAAATATGAAACTAAAGCAAAAAAAAAAACAAAAAAGAAAAAAAAAAAACAGAAAAAAAAGAAAAAAACACATTAAATGCAATAACTACAACTGCTTTCTTGAAAAAATGACAAAAAAAAAAAAAAAAAAAAAAACAGAAAAAGAAAAAACACATTAAATGCAATAACTACAACTGCTCTTGAAAAAATGACATACCATGCTCCCAAACCCAATATAAATGGGCTTTGTTCCTTTCAGAATCCATTTGTTAAATTCTTCTTTAGGTTCATACTTTGACCCAAGGTTTAAGAAACAATAACCAACGACATCAACTAAAGGACCCCAATCTGCATATTAGTTTATAAAGTTAATTCTTTCACACAAAGCATAAATATTAGCATTTGGGGATTCCAAATAAGTATCACAAAAACTGTAAGAAGCAAGAAGCTTAGTGGCTAGCGCATCAAAACAACAACGAAGAACATGAGAAGGTGAGAGCAATTAAAAACACTCAACAATTGGTTAGATCTCTCCCAAAAGGGTACCAAATAATATATAGCTGATTAAAATCTCTGCACATAGCTTTTCCAAATAGTGTTAAAAAACAAGATAAAAAAAAAAAAAATCAGAGGCATTTGAAACATAGAGAGAAATCTCTGGATGCCTACTTTTAACATTCTCCAAATGAATGTTCTAGGGCTTCCAATAGTGCCTTAATTTTCTTTCAAAAAATACATGAAACACAATTTTGATAAAGTCATATTCCATCTAGTGCCCAGCTACAAAGACTTAGATCAATGGTTGGCAGGACATGGAGGCTTGTACAGCCCAGACCTAACAAGACATTGTCCGCTTTGGGCCGAACTCACTCAAGTACGGACGGTTTTGTTCTTGCGCTAGAGCCAACTCAATAGCCCAAAAGGCCTCTTGCTAGTCTAAGGGACGCCCTTTCTTATGTACATCACTTTCACCTTGTGCTTAGCCGATGTGGGATTCGCCTAGGGTGTCACATCCAGCCCCCTTAGGGACTCAGAGCCCTCGCTGAGGTTTGCCCCACCACCAGCCAGAGGGACAAGGCTTGGCTCTGATACTAAGCTTGTAACAGCCAAGCCTAGCAAGATATTGTCCGCTTTGGGCCGAACCTACTCGGGCCCGCATGGCTTTGTTTTTGGGCTAGAACCAACTCAATAGCTCAAAAGGCCTCTTGGTAGTCTAAGACTTGCCCTTTCTTATGTTCATCACTTTCACCTTGTACTTCGCCGATGTGGGATTCGCTCAAGGTGTCACAGGTCTTGTTTCAGGAAAGCAAAAAAATATATCATAGTTCACCCATAAGAATGTGGTACTAATAAAAGGTATAAGCAGAAAAAAGAGCATAGAAATGCTCTCAGAGACTGCAACATCACAGTTGTTGCATTTGATGACTGAGTTTGAGGCTGTGTGCATTTGGGGCACAAAAAGATAATTCAAAACTGTATAAATATATACATAACATACTCGAGTGGGAGAAAACAAGAGAGAGAGAGAGAGAGAGAGAGAGAGAGAACAAGAGAAAAAAAAGAGACCAAATATGCTTACCATTTGGCTTTGGCACAAGATGGGGACTCCACAAATAACCTGTTGGCAAATGAGATAATGATCCATGATACATACTGAAGTATGCAATTGGGGGAAGCTTCAACTTTCTTTTCCTAAAGTCATTTATGTATCCTCTTATTCCCCACCATATGAGTAAATCCACAACTACGTATGAAAGCTGGATCCATTAAGAACAGACAGAAACATTATCTGGCGAATCAGCCCAATGGTTCACTGATTTATAGAAAACTTAAAGGGAAATGTGATACGACAAAAAAGAACATACCCAATTACCAGCGCTTTGAGGTACACGTGCTAAAGGGTGAGGAAATTCATAAGTTGGCCTGCCTATTGAAGAAGGAAGTAAGAAAACATAATTCAAGTAAAAGTGTGCAAAATTAAATATGAATTTCTCATGTAATTTTCAATTGCATCATATTTGCCTCAAAATATTGTCATCCCATTTTATTAGCACTAAACAAATATTAGCGTAGATGTATGCTAGACAATATCACAGCATAATCACTTAACAATAACCGCCCAACACCCCCCCCCCCCTAGCGTAGATGTATTTGCTAGACAATATCACGAAGCATAATCACTTAACAATAAACCGGTCCCAAACACCCCCCCCCCCCAACAACACACACACACACACACAAAAAAAAAAAATTAATAATAATAATAATTAATAAGTAAATGTAACAAAAAAAAAAGTTCCTGCATATTAAGCTGCAATTCATCAATTTTCAGGTTGTTTTGTCCCAAGATCCATGTTAATTCTCAACCATGTTCAATATGGGAAAACATTGCCTAGTAGGGAAAACACACATCAAAGTAAAAACTCAACAATCATGCGGCTATTTGATAAAAACTAGTGGAAACCTTTTGCAGAAGCCTTTGATTAAAAATTTAAATTGGAAAAAAATAATAATAATAATAATAATAATAAATGTAACAAAAAAAAAAGTTCCTGCATATAAGCTGCAATTCCATCAATTTTCAGGTTGTTTTGTCCAAGATCCATGTAATTCTCACATGTTCAATAATGGGAAAACACTTGCCTAGTAGGGAACACACATCAAAGTAAAACTCAAACAATCATGCAGGCTATTCTGATAAACTAGTGGAAACCTTTTGCAGAAAGCTTTGATTAAAATTTAAATGGCTCTCTTCTAATCCATTTTTTAACATTTTCCAAGCAATAAGGATGATTTTACTTTAAAATGTCTAAAATTTCAAATGAATCATTTATTTTTTCAGATTCCCATGTGTGGTAATTTTCAATTAATACTCACGTCCAAGGCATTGTGAAAAAAATATGAATCGGGATCCCAAGAGCTTCAGCAACATGCACATGTCCTGCAACACAAACTACAATTAGATTCTAATGTAAAGATACCATAACACCAGAAGGAATTTTTTTCCACGCTCTGATGTAAACTACTATCTTCATGTTGACCCTTTTATATTGCATAAAGAATAGTTTCTGAGAGATTCCACTTTTCACAGATAACAAAATTATCAAATTCTTTTTCTTTACATCCTTTCTCCTTTCCTTCTATGGCTTTTAGCATTTCATTTTCTCACTTTACTCCATACCAGTCATGCATATTCCTCTCTTTCTCTCTTCCTTTCCAATCCACACAACCAGACTGACAGACACATAATTTCTAAATTATTATCATGCGACTAAAACCATTCATACATCTTAAACAAACACAAAATTTACATGAGAGCAATCAATCCTTCACAGTCAGCAAAATTCAAGGTTTCAATCTTGTTCAATTTTATGTTCGATAGCTTTACTTTTGGGACAGAAATCTCGTTCTAAACCAATGTCTACAAGCTTGGTCCAAATAAATGCTTCCAGACATTTTCCAAAGCACTAAAATTTTATTCCAGTCCAGTCAATCTTCTAAGTAGGAACCATTAATATAGATCTTATCTTTAATACATGCTCCAGTATCAAAAGCAGAACCTAACATGGAACAAATTGATGATAGTTTGTGTCACAAGTCTTTTAATAGTAGTAGTGCAATCTTTACAAATAATAATGTAAGAAGGGTCATGAAGCGAACTGCTAATGTTTACATTAGGCCACCCAGAATCAATTTTTGAGATGTACTAAACAATAATGGGAATTGTCCAGAAGCTGAAGCAACAAGAACCAAGCATTCTTCAGTTTGTATTAACTCACCATAAGCAGGTGGGTTTGCAATAATTGCCTGGGCTCTAAAAGATGCACCAGTTTCTATATCCGGTTCTGTACATGCTGGAAGAAGAGACTCAATAATGGCTTTCAGCTGCTTCCTTTGTATGCCTATTTCACCAGGTGCAGATGGGATGAGGCCTTTATTTCTTGCCATATCTGAAATTTAAAATCGATTCTTTTTAGCACTATAATACAAACAAATTTAAAGAAAATTTAGGAAGGAAGAAGGAGATGAAAGAGTTTTGATTATATAGGACATACTAGGGTATCTTAAATAGGAGGGCAATGTAAGTTCAAAGAGATGAGATCATAATTTGCAACAATGGGAAATCGATTAATGCTTTAAAACATAATTATAAAGTGAAGCATACATCCTAACTGTATTCTAATGCATTTTTCCATCACTTTCAAAAAGCTACAAAAAACTTAAAAATAAAAGAGTATAAAAAGTAAACATTAGGGTCCCAAACAGGCTGGCCACACAAAAGACATTGAATTGCAATGAAACAAAACATAAAGGACATTCAAAGATTAGGGACCTCTTACATCCTGCCAAAACCCGGGGATCACCACCCAAGGGATAAAATTCCACACCAGCTGACCTTACGAAACTTCTAAAGTTAGCATGAGTTGCCAACCTAACACGATGACCAAATTCCTGCAATTGAACATTGGATTGTTAAATGTAATTCAAATTAATAATTATTAAGGTTTATATAACCATATATTAAAAAATGGCTAGAATATAAGGAGCTGCACACACATGGTCCGGATATCTATATTTTTGATTCCTAATAATGTAGTAATGAATTAAAGATCATAAAAAGTCCACAAAAGAGGAATTCAATCGACAGATTGTTAGAACTTCATCTGAGTTTGAATCCTGCTGAAATTGTTGAAGAAAGAACAAGATGTTCTAACGTAGAAAATTAGAAATGAATGCTCTGAACATATAAACCTGGGGATGATTGCACAGGACATAAGTGGCATAGCAAAAACAGTGACCAGAGTAATCAACAAATTACTATCAACATGCCTGAAGTCTCTTAGCCATAGCTAGAAATGGCTGCACATCTCCTCTTGTTCCGACCACAAGAATGGCAATTTTCAACCTCGGAATTGATTTATTGAAAGATTCAGAACTGCTATAGAAGGATGCCCCTTCAACTGAATGGAGCTCTAATAATTCAGATGCAACAGGTGAACTTTTGGCTATATCAACTTCAACTGTTCCATCATTTTGGATCTTGACTAGCTCAATGATTAGTTTGTGCTGAAGACATTACAAGAAAGAAACATGATTAGTAAGAAGAAAACAGTACCTGAACCAATAGAAGCTTTGGGCAAAGTGGAGAATGAAATTTTTTCCTGAACCGAGACCCTCATAGATGGTTGGTTCTTCAAATTGCCACAGAAACCTAGTACTAGATGCCACAGAGGAAATAAATTTATAGATTCATTAAAATAACGATAGGCCCAGTAGCATTAGCTGCTGTGTTATGAAATAATGATATGAGAGAAAAATGTACCAAATTCCATAGTAGGCCTTAAAATGGTGTGGAATGCAATAAGGAAATGAATATGACATTGCATAGGCAATGACTCATGAACATATAAGAACTAGCCGAATTCCATTGCCTATAAACTAGAGAGCATCTCCTACATACCTTGTGAACATGCAAAGGAAAAATAATGATCAGATACAAGCTAGGAAACTCGCAGATACTACTAAATTTACCTTTTCATGCTCTGATAGTCTATCCAATTTTAGCTCATGCCTTGGAGTCTTCTTCTCTGTCATGGATCTACAGAATGTAAATTTACCAGAGTCATCGAGCAGAGGATGTCTATCAGTAGAAACAGGGGCAGTAACGGAGTGATTCAATCCTTCAAGATCAGATGCTTTGTTGTCAGAGAACATATCAAACAAACTCATACATGAAAGGTTAAATGTTTGTGAGAGAACTTCAGCATGCCAGGTACAAACTCTGACTTGGAAATATAGTCCCCAAACAGAAAGAACATGGAGAAAACTTTTATTCTAACTTATAGGAAATAAGAAAAACAGAAACATGAGGGATACGAAAAAGATGCGTGTTGGTAGTCCACGGTGTTCCTACTGTTCTTTATAATGCTTTAAATTTCTTATTTCATGGCTGTTGGATTCTCATTGGATGAGATTTATAAAATCCAAATTCTTACCATATGATAATTCTTTTTATTTTAGTTTCCGATGAATCTTAATTTCCTTTTTCCTTTAAATAACCATAACAGATCACTTCTGCATTTTCTCTTTCATAAAATCAAATTTTATGAAGCATTCCAATATGCAAAAATTGAGTGGAAATTCAATCTTAATGGCGTTGAGAGACAGAAAAATCAATAAATTAATGAGAACTACCCTGAAATTGATTTCAGGAAGAAGTATCTTCCCTTCAAAAACTAAGGATGTAAGATATTATATGCAAGGCATGTGACAAAAGCTGCTACAGCCACTTTATGACTGCAATTAGGCAGTTTGAGAAATGCACCTCCAAACCTATGTTTATTTCAAAGAACCACATTGCAAGCATACCATGTGTACATAGCACATTCATGGGTACATGACATATATATGATCTATTTTAGTTTTATAATCTATGCTTCTAGTCTATTTCCACATAACAATCCTATTGCATGACCACACATTTTGGGAACCACTGAGCGAGAAAACAAACTTTTAGGTGAGCCTAATCTCCAGCAATTTTATATGCAATGGGTTAACCAAGATAATTAGATAAATAAATTTTCAAAACTGAAAAATAAAGGTATATTGCTGCAGCAAAAATTTAGATAGCATAAAATGCAAGTTGGTCCGGGGATTGAAAATCAAATTCCGTCCTTCCAAAGGTAGGGTTTCTCGAAAAGCAATTATTAATGAACCATGGGCAACAAGGTTAATGCTTTGCAATCCAGTAATTCAGTATTGATACACTTTCACATCACAAGAAGGATTTGCATACCCCACTCTGGTCATTAGATTCAGTGGACTACACTGTCGTTCAACCCTAAAAGTTTACCGATATAACCAAGAGCTTACTGATATAACCAAGTTTAAGGAAACTAGTTTGAGTTGATGAGTACAAACCTCGTTGAGGGAAAGAAGTGGCATTTGGCCTTTTTGATTCTAGAATCTCTTGAACAGATGGCTGCTGCGCTGAATCTGTCACTGATTTCTGTGCTTCCTGAAGCTGACCAGCTTTTGTCATTCCTGAATTCGTCTCCTGCTTTTGTGTTTCTTGAGGAGAACCTACTTCAAATTGTTCACCTGAAGACACGTAATCTACAATTACTGAAGTGTCAACACCACCAATCTGCTCAAAGCTCTTATAAAGTTCCTGGCTGCTACTAAGCCCTTCCTCTTCTGAATTACTCAATGGATGATCAACCCCATTACTCCCCATTTCGTCAAATGCGCAGCCTACCCCAAAATAATAACCCAACTACTTTTCAAATCCCAATACAATGTCCTTACTTCGGCAGTGAAATGCAAAAGGTACTGACCAACAAGAAAATGTCACCAAATCCTATAAAGTAGTGCACTAATCTAATTCACGAATCCAAATCCAAAACTCTCAAAGTGCAAAATGCCTAAAGTTAATCACATCAACAAGAAAATTTCCAGGACCAACAATTCTAACTCCCTCTAACAACAATTCTCAATTTCTCAGTTCTCAAACTTCCCGAATGTTACAGCCAAAAACTGCTTCACAATAACAACCTAGCAGAACCCACAAATCTTAAACCCTTCACCAAAAAATCACATAGTACGACTTCTCAAAAGCTTTAAGCTGAAAACACAAAATCACATAGTACGACTCAGTAAACCCTCAACTCAAAAACCCTTTTGACAACCCTCCCCACAATCCCAACAATCTAGCAAAACCTATGAAAATAGGATTTTCCAAGAAAACGTCAACCACAATCCTCTGAATTTGAATTCTTGAATTTTCCAAGCAAAATAAATGAACATTTGCAAAGATAAAAGTGGGCAGATGTCAAAAGTTCAAAGAGAACCGGAATTGAAGTTCTAAATACTATATAAAGAATATACTTAACCAGACAAACAAAGAAACAAGCAAGTAAGCTAGAAAACTACCCACCAGTCAATTGGACCATAAAGAACGTTAGGTAAGCATATTTTAGATAAGCTAAACCCGGCCTAAAGGCAAGAATTAAGTATAAAAGAGTTCAAAATTAGCAAAAAAATTGGAAAGTCAATTCAAGAAACCGAAAGCAAATACAAGACCCAGAAAAGATACAAGATTATTGATACTTATTTAGAAATACTATCAAGAACTGTAAGCTATAAGCTGTTCAGAAAGGTAAAAGAAAATGAGGAATTTAAGTCATTAAGTTTTAATACGATCGTGTACTTACACCGGTGGCAATGGAATTTGACTGCAAAAGAAACTATGCAGAAGGGTGTAGAAGTTATTTGTGTAGTCAAAGATTGAAAGTTGATAAAAAACGGAAAGAGCAAGTTGAGAAGGTGATGATTACAGGTGAGTGCACTTCACTTCCTGTGTCCGAGTTTAGACTTTAGAGAAACATGGGCAAGAAACCTTAACGAATGGAGAGACTACAGCGACCAACAAGTAGGAGGACGCGAATTGAGTGAAAATATAAATAAATAATAAGGAGGTGAATTTTAATTTATTATAGAAACTCCTAAACTATAATTGTCCAATTAATTGAAAGTAAGAAAAAAGAATTGGCAGTCTCAATTTTATAATTTGTTATTGACTACATATTATAATAATGCTTCTAATTTTAAATTAATATTTACAATTTTAAATTTGTTAAAGTTTCGCATGTCTTTTAACATTAATATAATGATTAATTTTATATACTAAAATATTTTTAGACAAGATTATGTATGTAAAGTTAAATATTTTTAAAAAATTTTAAATAATTCATAAAGTATTTTAAAAAGTGCTTGCAAATTAAAGCAACGAGCTTTTTTTTTAACCACTTAGCGTCTGTTCGATATTTTTTTTTAATCACCTAGAATCTGATTAGCAAAATTAACTGTTTTAAACATTATATAAATTAACTTTTTACAAAATGATACTGCAATCTGAAAAATTTAGTACAAACGCTATTATTATTGAATAATATTTTAAGTAGCATTATGCGATTTAAAAAGTTATTATTGAATACTGCTTAAATTTTAAAATTTATTTAAAACGTAATTTTTATATTATTTTTAAAATTGTATAAGAAAAAGGCCATTTTTATTTTTTAGAAATAAAGCTATCTAACGTTTTAAAAAAAAAAATTCGGTAAAGTATGGAAAAGAAGGAACGGTAGTTATTGTCTGACACAACTAACGCACATCGCACGGATCGGGCGATGAATCTTTTGTGCAGCCTCGCGCTTTGCGGGGTGCGCCTCTTTCAACGCGGCCAACCCACCTTATATATTAACAGTTCTAATTTTTATAATAACTATCTTTTAATGGAACTTTAATATATTTGTTATATGTTCATTTTTTATGCTCATTTAATTTCTTTATTTATGTAATTAAAATATAAATTTTTATTTAGATTACAATAAATATAATAGTTTTTATATATACATTATTTTTTTTTTTAGTTATATGTCTTTCGCTGTAATATCTCATTAAGAAATAGTAATCTATGTATCTATAATCTATGATCTATAATCTATATTCTATTTATCTATATATACTATACAAAAGTGTGAACGAGGGCGAATAATGAGATTACCTATATTAATCTTAATGAAATCTTAGAAATCCTAAAATAGCCTTAATCATAGTTAATTCGAAAATTATATTTTATACTAATGAGGGTTTGGATGAGTGGTTCGGCACTCTTTTCTTTTGAGTGAGGCAAAGAGTTCGATTCTTATGAATAAGTAAATACTTGCTTGGAGTATTTTACCCCTTCTTGCGCAACCCAATACAAGCAGAGTTTAGTTCTAGTCCAATGGGCTCAGGAGTTAAGACAAAAAAAAGAAAAGTTACAATTTTATTATTTAATTGGATATAATTTCTAAAAATTATTTTTTAAATAAATACATGTAGACAATAAAAAAAGAAAAAGTATGCTCTTCCTTAAAATTGAGGGTTTATTTAGCGGGAATATAACGTTTTTTTTATGTAATATTTTTTATTAATTAATTAATTTATTTATTTATTTTAAATTTGCAATTTATAAAAATAGAGAATTAAAATTAGATCTTAGCATTATTTGCTTTGTAAAAGGAAAAGAGGGTGTACAATTTTATTATTAATTGGATTATAATTCTAAAGAAAATTATTTTTAAATAAATACATTGTAGACAATAAAGAAAAGAAAAAGTATGCCTCCTGTTCCTTAAAATTGAGGGTTTATTTAGCGGAATTATAAACGTTTGTTTTTATGTAATATTTTTTATTAATTAATTAATTTATTCTATTTATTTTAAAGTCCTCAAGTAATTAATTTATTTATTTATTTTAAATTTGCAATTTATAAAAATAGAGAATTAAAATTAGATCTTAGCATTATTTGCTTTGTAATTTTCATTAATTGAATTGGTTATAATTTTTATTTTGTCTATCAATATCAAATTTGATTAAATTATAACATTTCCAATTAAAGAAGGGGTTGGTTTTTGAAATTCAAATTAATAATTTTTTAATATAATTTGTTTCTTGTTATATGTTGAGTTCCGAAAGAAGTTCTATTGTTAATAACAATTTTTTATTTTCTTTTTTGTTACTAAATTAATTTGTAACTATTATCACTTTAATTTAGCAAGAGATTTATATCTCCCTTGCAATAAATAGATGACTTTTGATAATTACACATTTTGAATTTTCTTAATTTTTTTCTATTATATTTTAAATATGTTTGACTCGAAAGAAAATAGTGTTTATAAAACTGGAAAAAAAAAAACTAAAACTATACATCTCTGTTTTGGGTCACTTTTTAGGGTTTCAAGATTTTGTGTGTATGTACATATATTCCTTTCTCTAATGCACTGAGTGAGTAATATTGTTATCATAGCCAAAATAATTATCATCATCAATTCAGCTCATCTGCTCATTTCTTTTCTTTACCCAGCTGTAAAAAATAATTTTTTATTATTTTTTATTATAGTTGTATTTAGATATTGATTTGGGATTAAGAGCAGAAAGTTGGAGATGAAATGATGACTTAATTTTCTTTTTGGATACTTATTAAGGTTTTAAGAATTTACATTTATAAATTAAGGACTGAAGGAATGATTAGTTATAGGAATTAGGTTGAATTTTATTTTGAGACTACTTCATTATAAAAAAAAATTGAATTAAGTATATAAAAAGTAACATTACAAGTAAGTTATACGACAAAACCCAATACAAATTAAGTAATTGTATTTATTTTAATCTAAAAAAAAAACTTATACTTTAATAGTATATAGATAAAAAAAAATTAAAAAGAGTACAAATATATAACGAGCATAGTCAATATGCAACGCACGTCATAAAAAAGACTAGTATATATAAAAGTATGAATGGGGAGAACTTTGGGTTCCTAAAACGCCCCTATTAAGTTTATGAATTGATAAAAATATCATTACTAATCATAATCTAAATATGATATCAATTTATTATATTTATTATATTAATATTATAAATTTAATCTGATTCTAATTAGGAATTTGCCTATTATACCAGTATATATATATTTAGTTTTAATTATTTTTGACTATCAAGAATTTGTTGCTTTTGACTATAAAAAAAATTTGTTGCTTTTGACTATCAAGAATTGTTATATTAAGCTTTTGCTAATTTGAAATTACTGAGTTTGCAATTGTGTTTTCTTTTTGCGGTAAGTATAATCTTAACTCTTTCTATTTACAAATTAATAGAATAATTTTTATTTATAGTTCTTATAATTTAGATTTATAGATTATAATTGTTTAGTAATCATGAATAATTACAAGCTTATAAGTTTTCCTCCTGAATAGCATTATCGTGAAATATCTTAAAGAGATGAACCATTTAATTAGGAAATTTTAATTTTATTTATTGATTAAAATTATATAATAAATTTTAATTAGATTGATTATTTTAGTTTCCTTAGTCATAATATTTTTATTAATTAATAAATCTTGTTTCATTATTTTGAAGTTGCTAAGAGTTGACAAAAGGTTCTATAAACGTGTTAGCAACGAAAAGTTTTTCCGTTTCTAAAGTTGTAACATGAATTATTTTTTCTTTCGTCGTTGAGAGCGGGTTCTACAAACGAGTTAGCAGCCGAATTTTTATTCGTTGCTAAAGTTATAACTAAGATTCAGAATCTATTTTCACTGCATTTCTCTTATATGCCACATCCTTTGTATGCTTGCACTTCCTTTTCTGTTTTCTTCCTCTCTTTTATTTTATATTTTATTAATAGTCTAAACTTTATTTGAATTGTAAGATCAATATTTGTCAAAATAATATCTTTATTTTCTTAGTTTCAAGTATTTCGATGAAATTAAGATAGCCATGAAAATTTTAATATTCAAATTATAATATAATAAATCATAATTTTTTTGCATGTGTAGAAATTCCAAATTATATATATATATATATATATTATATATATATTATATATATATTGTGTGTGTGTGTTGTGTGTGTGTGTTGTGTGCGCGGCGCCGGTATTCCGCGCAGCGAATGAGGGATATTATATATATATATATATATATATATTATATATGTGTTGGTGTGTGTGTGTACGCGCCTGCGCAGCGGGGCGCCGAATAAGGGAGAACATTGGGTTTCTAAAATGCCCTTGTGACTTTTAATTTCTATTGGATTGATTGACAAAATAATTTAGTTCTTATATCTAATTAGAAAAACTCTTAACTTTAATTGGTATTTTAGTAGTTTGATTAATTAAACATATTATTTAAAAATAATTTATCCTATTCTAATTAGGAAACTTTTTAAATTCCTATTACCTATACATATAAAAATACTATGATTTAATGTCTTATAATTTAAATATATTATAATATAAGATATTAAATTTATTAATCCCTTATTAGTAGCCCCTTTTTATTAATATTATAATTTTAATCTCATTTTAATTAGGAATTTGACTTTAATCAATTTATTATTTTTATTATATTAATATTATGAATTTAATCACACTCTAATTAGGAATTTGACTTTTAATCCAATTCTAATTAGGATTTTGTCTTATCATATCACTATATATATTTTTTGGTTATAATTACTTTTGAATTTTGACTATCACGAATTTGTTGTTTTTGACTATCAAAAATTATTAAATCAAACTTTGCTAATTTGAAATTATTGAGTTTGCATCATGTTTTTTTCTTGCGATAAATATAATCTTAACTTTCTCTATTTATAAATCAATAGAATAATTTTTATTTGTGTTTATTAAGTGTGTTCTAGCAACTATAGGAAGTTTTGTTCTAGCAACTATAGGAAGTTTAATCTAATTCTAAATATGAAATTATTAAAGATTTTAATTTTATTGGTTGAAAAATAAAGCTAATTTAATTATTAAACATTTTAATTTTCTATTTAAACATATATTCTATTGAATAAAACAATATATTACATTAGATATTATATAAGATATATA